TTTGAGCCTCACTATTCATTCAAACACACTGCTTTGCGACAGAAACACTTTCTACATACTGTGTACGAAGTATCGGCATCAGACACAGCCTAAGACAAAAAAGAAAGAGTAATCACTACGTGCTGCTTCTCTTTAGTACAAAGCACAAGTGAAGGAGCCCTGGTTTCTTGCATCGAAGTTACAATTGAAGTTACAAGTTACACGTTCAAGCATGCACAGGAGTGACCGTAGAGGCAGCGACCGCGCACGGAAATTTCTAAAAAAAATGGTGCGGTCAACGTGAGCTTTACAAACACCGGAGTGATTATAATTTTTTTAAGCACCCTCGTTGCTTTAGTATGATGTGAACAGATTTTGAGATATTGGCGACCGCGTACTAAAACTGCAGAGCTCCTTTTTTTGTGTGTGTAGATGTATAAGCAAACCTGTCTGCGTAAGAAGTTGTTGTGTTGGAGAGTCGATTTCAGAAATGTGTGATACATTTTACAGTAAGCAAACAAATCAGCAATATGCTGAGTTTTCTAAAAAAAACTAGCTAGAACTAAGTTGACATCTTTCTTTCGCAACACCAACAATATTCAACTATCCTAAAAAAAAAGTGGGTAAAACTACTTGCTCACGTTTATATTCCCAGTTTAAAAAAAAAAAAAAAAAAAAAAGCTTCGTTTTGTTGGCAATAAGGAAAAAGAAACGTTAAGCGTAGACTAGCTATATATCACGCGAACGTTCAGTCTTCAGATTCTTTGAATTCTGTTTTCTTTGGGTAGGAATCATCGTTCTCGCTTGCAATATTGAATGCATTAAAAATTTATTTCATGCTCTCTCGTTCGTTCTTAATCGCCTTCGTCTCCATTTGTCAAAGAGGTTTAACCCTACAAGAAATAAACGACACATAGCGTGAATACGTAAAGTCAGCGTGAAATCATATATCTTAAGTGCTTCACTTTTTTTTTAGTGTAACGTATAATTTCTTCCGTGCAATAATGACCACTGTGCCCTTCCTTGCAGATATGGAACGCAGATACATTTAAAAAAACCATCAAATTCCTACTTCATTTTTTTTTTACAGTAAAAAAAAAAAAGTTGTTTACGTTTTACTAAGAACCGCAAATACCGCTACACGGCGCATGAAAAGATTTACGCGCGCATTGTTTGTTTATGATTGTTTGTCTCTAAGTTGTTTTTTTAACACGGCTAAAGTTACGGTTATCGGCAATAAAAATAAAACTAATGACAGTTATAAATCTCCCATCACACAAAAGCGCGTTGGGAGGCACAAGAAGCCCGTACGAAATACTGAGGTGAGGTTGAATAGATTATTAATGCGCATGTTCCGTCCGCGTAGCCTGTATCGTTGCCTTTACTCTAATATTTGAGGGTTATGTTCAGGATCACGATGCATCGCATGTAGCACTCCTATCGAGCTCTCCTCTCGCCATTCCATGGTCGGGTGGTTTTCGGTTGGTACTTACACTTGCGAGCAATCGATCATTCTGAGTTCCTTGTTATTTCCTGCTAGTTCCCGGGTTTTCACTGTTGTAGGATAACGCTCGACCTCTTTTTGCCTTTGTTCGTTGTATTCTGCACTTCTCTTTTTGTACGTTAATCCATCGATATTGGTTTCGCAAACCTTAAATTTAACAGATGTTTATTGACTGCAAAAAAAAAAGAACTTCCGCGATTTAGTTGTCAATCTTTTATAGCTTCCGTGTTTTTCTTCGCTTTGATTTCTCGTAGTTTGAAAATTTTCTGGTTTCGACACTTGAAAAAGCACAAGACGTTTTTTCCTTCATTTTGTTTATAGACAATCGCCATCGTAGAACAACTGAACAAAACAAGGTAAGCCAGCGCGCTGCATCGATGAAACAAAAACAGAAATCTTATGATTCGGCGGCGGATTAATATTAATCATAATAATAATAAATAGTTGTTTTGCGAATTGTGCTGATGTGTACTAAAAATGGACGTTCCATGTTTGTAAGAGAGCGCCATTGGAATTTGTAAACTTGGTTTAATCGATTCCTTTTCTCCCTATAATTTTGTTTATTTTTGTGTTATAAGTGAGCTTGTGAAAAACATGTATATGTACATACTCTCCTCTTTTCATGTCTGTGGGGAGGCAGAGGCTCGTCAAGCAACAAATGAGTTGCTTTATTTTCTGTCTCCCCTCTCCAAAAGGAGAGAAATAAAGAGTTTGAGTTTGAGCTTGACATCTTTAGGAAATTAACTTGTAAGCTTTTAGTGTACCTAATATATCTCCCGGTGTATAAAATATGCACCAATCCTGCCGCGACCTCACAACTGGCAGTATCAATAAAAAAAGAATAAGAAAAAATAAGAATAATGAGAATATTAATGTATAATAAAATTCAAAGCTCCAATCCACGCTGTGAAGGTGGTTGGACAGCGAAGCTGTGCTGTCACCTGCAACGATGCCCACTGCACTATAGACCCTTTTTTTGGCAAACGCCACCAGGTGGTGCTGCAGTCCTTGACATCCCATAGAACTTCCGGTTTATAGAAAGAATAAACAAAGGCCGCCTTAAAGCCACTGCTTGAAACGTAGATGAAACGTTTAACCGCCAATTGGTCAGGTGAACGCCAAAAGAACGAAGGAGCGCGAGATCTGTTCAAATGTTTCGACTGTTCTTGTAAATGAACTTGCCTCCTTCAAGATGTAATATTGAACAGCCGAAGGCCCTCGTTCAATCTCCAACTTTGTTGTCCGTGTATCATTTATGCTTTCTAGCACTGGTCACATAAGCAAGCTTAACAGGCTTGCAAAGACGGTGCGACCGGAAGTCGCGTGGGACGCCAGCGGCAGTTTATGTGCGTATTCAGCAAAAAACAACTATACCATATGATTGAGGAAAGAAAAGTAAATGCACTGTACCACAACTTTTTTTTATATATGAAATACTTCGTACGCTGCCGTTGCCGCGGCAGCTTATGCAACCCCAATCTTTACCGAGAAACGCATGTGGGGAATGCTACGTTTTTATCTATCACGTGGCTTTGACACTTGTTTTGCGGTTTTCTCGTTGAAACAAGTGCCAAAACCACATGATAAGAGCCAAGGAGCGCGCAAAGGGTGATAAAGCTCGAGTTACAATTTTCCGTCGAATATTGTTCTGTCGACGGCCACGAAAAAACCTGACCAACGAGACAGACAGCTTCGCTGGAAAACTTTAAAAACCTGTTTATGCACCGTCCGCCCGTGTCAGCCATCAATTGGATTTTAATATTTCTTAAAATACCACTGTCATAATGCACATCCTACTGATACCAAAACGATATTTGCGATCGCGTGTATTGCCTTTAAATAAAAACATTGATTCATGATCGATAACCTATTCCAGCGAACGTTCTCAGCGGTTTTCGGGTGCCATATTGACTTTTCGTTCGCATACTTTTTGCAACGTCAAGACTAATGCTATGTTGCAATACACTTTCTCGAGAGGCACTCATCCATCGACCAAACGTTCGGGAGACATATTTTTACGGTTGGCAATGAGGAAGAAAATGTACTTATCTAGAAGCACGTCGAAGTCTCGTGCCTTTCTTTAGAACCAAATGCATATTCATAATATGCGAACACGTGATGGAAGCGAAAGGATTGAAGTCAAACACTGAACCAAGTTTCTAAACATTATGAAGCCTTACGATGCAACATTATAGTATAGTATGCAGAGTGTTTCTTTGTAAGCTTAAGAGGTTTGTTTTTAAAAAAAAGCCGTGAAATCTACAAATAGCACAGGGGGATAATTGCAACGCTCAGTCGGCTGATATTACGGTTCATGAAGTTCTTTTAGCCGTTCTAAACCTGAATTGTAAGCTTTTTGCAGGCTCAGATGATATTCCTAAATTCGTTGTAAAATGGTGTGGCGAATGCTTTGCTTCTGGTCTTGAAAAAGTGTTCAACTTGTCGATACAAGGGGGTAGCTTTCCAGGTAAATGAAAATATTCGGTAGTCGTCCCGATTTTGAAGTCAAGTGATTCTTGTGATGTTAGCAGTTATCGGCCAGTATTTCTTCTTAATTCATTTTTATAGGTGTTTTAGAAGGTGGTGTACAATCGGTTTTATATATATCAAAAATTCTCCTGTACAACACGGTTTCGTCACAGGCAGATCCGTTGAGAATAAGTTGTGTACATTTTTTTTTTTATCTTGCTTTGCCGGTTGTTTAGAGTCGGGGTCAAATAGACTAAACATACCTCGATATGTCCAAGTCTTCTGATAAGGTCAGTCATGAGCTCTTAGTGCTGAAACTCAGGGACTATGGCCTCAGTCCTGAGTACAATACCTGGCTTAGGAGTTACCTTTATAAAAGACCGAACTGTGTAAGGATATCTGGCTTTTTGACTCGTCTTTTCATTTCCATGTCATGAGTGCCTCAGGCCTCGAACCTTGGACCTTTGTTGTTTCTTTTTTTTTTATATATATAAATGATTTAGCGTCGTCTGTAAGACTTATGTTTGCAGATGACGTGAAGTCGTTTAGCGATGTGAAACGGCGGTTGATTTTCTTACGTAAAGGACGAGCGTGTTGTTTAATAGACCTTCTGCTAAATTACAGTCAAGATTGACTAATTTAGGGGTCTTCGATGACGCTCGGCAAATGTTTAATTCGAACACCATGTTTTTCTGCTGCTTTTTTTTTTCTCTAAATAAAAAGCCAATAAGTAAAACTTCGGTAATTAATTCGGTAATCAGTAACTTGTTTTGCAATCCCTGACGACCGCCGTTACTGGCAGTCTTTTCCCGAAAACAGTTTCTTCTTTTCTCGACTACCCTGATTGTAGGAATTCTTTTTTTAAGCATTCGCAGAAACATTTCATGTACCAAAAGCTCGAGTTAGTCACGGGCGGTTGTGGCGCACTCAGTAGCCACTCAAACGCAGACGTGTAAACGAGCCTCAACTCTTTTTTCTCAGGCTAGGGCCGCGGCCGTCCCTCCGAGGCCATGCCCTGAGGGTCATGCCCTGAGGACGGACGAGAGGCATGCGTGTTCGGCGGGACCCCGAGGTCTCGGAGGAGGTCCAGGAGCGGCGTGCCCGCTGCATCGCCCTCGAGAAGGCCTACGTGCACGACGTGTACGACACCCTCGCCCCGAGGCTCGTCAGGCCCCGGCTCTGGCCCAGGGTGCACCAGTTCCTGCAGGACCTCGAGCTGGGAAGCCTCGTCGCCGACGTCGGTGAGGAAATGCACGAAAAACCGGGAAATAATTTGGCTGTCGCTTTGACATTTCGCAAAGGCATACCCTCAATCCGTGTAGCACAATTATAAGGCCTCTTCGCGCTCGTTTCTTTTGGACACGATAGGAGACCACCGAAGGACACAGTGCGAGGGTTTTGTGAATGTATGAAGTCGCCACAGTGTCACATGACCTCATGAAGTCACGAGGCGTCGTAGTTTGACGCGACATCATAATGTCACGTGACGACATGGCGTCATGCGACACGTTGACGTCATCGAGGATACATGCCATGGACACAAGGTTTCCGAGGCTGGCATTCATCTATAAGCAAACGTAGTATAAACGTAGCAAAGAGCTCCACTTGGGGAACAGGAGGGACAACGGAGCGTGAATATCCACGTCGTGTCCTTACTGTCCGGGCTTAAGGCATGCCTTGTGCTTTTATTATCGAGGGTCAGAGCTTTTCTTTTTTCTCCCTAAGGTAAGCACAATTAAAAATTACCTACATCAAAACAGCACGAAACACAAACAAACAAATCGAGGAATTGAACGCAGGAATTTCATATGTCCGCTCATTTATCTTCGCTCAGTATTTTCAATTATTAGACTTGTCTTTTCGTGCTTCGCACAAATTTGTGCACGAGATTTAGGGACCGAGAGATGTACGAACAAGCCCAACGTTACGCATTCTTGAAGAATTAACTATTCGCATTTTTTTTATCTTTTTTATTTAAATAAAGCAAAGGTAAAAAACATCTGCCGGTTTGTGTAACTTAAAAAAAATACACTTACCTGGTGCACATTTTTAAACTAAATCTAGACTACCGGAACAAAATTAGAAAACATTTAGCCACGGTCCTTGTTTTTTAACACAGACAATCTAATATTATTCTAATTATCATCCAGATTTATCGTTTTCGTGGCAACATTTTGATCTTGACGTACTGCGAGAGGCACGGGCGATGCTTTCTTAGCTCCTTGTATAGCTTCTAGATTTCATCCAGTAAATTAACATCGGCCCAATAACAAGTCGACAAGAGATGAAGCTTTGCGTGCCAGTGTTGCAATATTACCGACGAGAATTGCGGTTTCAGAGTCGATATGTCTATCAATCAAAACTCAAAAAAATAAAATAAAATAAAATGACCGGCGTCAAGTAAATCGATTGAGTAAATAAACTTCATGGCGTCTAGTCCGGCGGTCTCGTTGATGCGTCACGCTGACTTACTCGAAACAAAAACCCTATTCAATATCGAACATTCTCCATTTTACATTTGCATTCAAAAGTCACACGCCAACACCCAAACCTAAAAAAAAAAGAAAAGGAATGGCTAAAACGCGTACATGCTCCCCCTAACCCACAGAAACACTCCCACGCAAGCATACACATACCCGGTAACACGCACACAAGCGAACAAAAACTCCGCGGTAGTCGCACTACAAAACCGTATTCACGCTACACCAAAAGCACCGGCGCACAAAAATGCACATAAACAAACAAAAACACGTACGCTAGAACCCAGTATACCTTTCACATAAACAGAAAGCTGCGCCCGGAGACGTTCAAGACCGCAGAGTCCGTACCCCATCGTGCGTTCCTCGACTCACACTTTTATGTCTAGGGTTTACTGTCAGAAATATTCGGCTTTTTCAGACGACATTCCAGGGTGCTATACAAATTTCGCTTCGTAGGAAAAAGAAAAGGCGCAAAAGAAATGGGACGCCGTTTCCCTCATACCAAGACCGCTTTCATAATTTTTCCTCAAACGCGAGTTCCGGATCGGCATTCTTTGGAGACGCTTGGCGAGTATTCCACTCACGGACACGTTCCTTCTTCGCTCTCTTCTCGAAAAACAAAACGTGGGGCTATTCGAGCTAAGTCGCCGTAGAATGCTCAAAATATAAAAACGCACGCGCTCGGTTGTTGTTGTTATTGTTTTTATACGAAAAATTAAATTGAGGGCGAGAACAGAAGAACGCGCCTCAAGAGATATGCTTATCACATTTCACCGGAAGAGCTGTAGAATTCTTGTCTTGCGTCAAGGGAGTAGAAGCGCTTTTATGTTTGACTGCTATAAGTTTGCATGCCAACGCTTCCTTTAAAATAAAAATTAAAAAAAACACGTATAAATGGCCCGCACGTCTATCACGCCATTACGTCCACATTGTCACGTAACGTCCGGAGCCGATGAATAGCGTGGTCAGTACCGAGCATGTTTCTATCGCCCCGATGAGATTGCGGTATAAAGAGGATCGCCAAAGAAGGAATTAAGAAGCAAAGATCGTGAACATAATAGCGAGTCCAGCCCTGTTTGTGACCTCGGAAAACGACAAGGACGTTGAGACTTTCAGAGTAAAACATGAGCGCTTAAAGGGAGGCACCGTCGGGAGTTTAATCTGACTGTTAGCCGTGTCACCGGGATGATGCTCGTAAGCGGAGTTGTCTTAAATAAATCCGAAGAAACAAACAGGAGTGACCCAGAGCATGGTTTATTTTGAAGCGTTAGCGGACGCGCCGAAGAAACGATCACGGTGTAATTACAAGCGTGCTCACATATTAAGCCCCGTCCCATGTTTCTTGAACTCTCAGCGATTATTGACGGTTCACCCCATATAACTCCGCATAAAAAAGGTGGTAATACCTTTTCAATCTCGAAGTATCTTAACCGTCCAGACTTCCGCACAAGAAGTCATACGCAAACAGGAAAACAGCACGAGAAGAAAAGAACCGTATCAAAGAGGATCATGAAACTTCGACAAACACAACAAAAAAGTAAACTCTAACAATTCGTTTAGACGGAGGAGGGACAGGCAAACGTGCGTTCCTAAATGCGTGTGCGTGCGTGCGTGCTGATGTATGTGTGTGCGTTTCTCATTTGTGTGTGTATGTGGGGGTGGGGGGCCTTCGTGGAGTGCTCCAAACGAAGAGCACTGAGTCAGACACACAATTAGGGCTCTTTTCATCGGCAGCAACTCACGCTGCTCTTTGAATGAAGCAACTGCTGCCAGCATTGCGGGACATAAGAAGCGCGCATCGCGAAGATCACTCCAGTCACTGCAACTCAACCGCAGCCTATGGGAAGCGCTGGCCGCAAAAACAAGTAAAAAAACGAGATGCCTGTCATTCCGAGAATGATTTGTTTCTCTTCACATCTCGCAGCACCGCTTTTTTACGCTACAAAGGTTAAGTATAGCTCAAGTCGAGAGACGTCGTTACCGGCACATCCGCGCTTTGTATTCCGCTCGCCAAGCTACTCCTTCCACTGGTGCAAACGCATCGTACGTAGCACGGATGTGGCGGCGACTTGCCGGTCCTGTCTCGACAGAAGCGTACCTCGGAACGTAAGAAAACGCTGCTACGTTAAGTTCCCCATTTGGACGTGGGAAGATGGCCGCAAGTTTACGGAAATCAAGTACCCGGCCAGGGTGTAAGATAGACAGGTGGGGAAACGGCCCATAGAAACCTACCGCAGCGCCGTGACCCGATTGTGTACTCGTCTGCTTGCGGGTGGCTTGCGGGTACCCCCGATTTGCGACAGATGGCGCTGCGGCGAGAAGAAAACAATTGGAATCGAATTTACATGCAACTCTATGGGAGAGTGCGCAAAATAAACTGAGAGCACGACAGTCCTCCATTGAAAATCCACGAGAAACCTTCTCCATCAGTTTAACCGGTCGCCAGCGTTCGCCCACCTGGAGTGAGAGTTCGCGGTGCTCAACATAGATGGCGCCACAGAAAAAGAGAAAACCGAGGGAGACACAATGCGGTCGCTCATTGGGCTCTCGTTTCACCACCTGTCTATCTTACACCCTGTACCCGGCTTAGATACAACATGCTTACTGATAGGACGCGGCAAGCGATGGTAAAATTATTGACGCAGCCTCTCATGAAGCGGAGTGACTGTCTGATGTGATGTGACTTCAGAACCACACCAAGCTCCGATTGGCCTCGATTGAAAAGATAGTGGGTATAGCCCTCGATGCTAGATACCTCGAGGCCTACCAACACCACCTAGATAAGCAGAAGGCCTCCGCACCGTCATCACAGTCAGATCGATCTAGGCTTGAGATTGGTCACGAGTGCTGCGTCAGTGTTCGGCCGGGGCTCGTGTCCAATCAGCGCGTCCAAGGTCGGACTCGGACCCAATAGCCGAGTTAGCGCGATCCGACTCCGATGACGTTTCATGAAGGGAGAGGAGGCGATGCGGAGGCTTTGTTTATTCTAGGTGGTGTTGGGTCTACCCACTGTTTTTGTTTTTTTTTCTATCAGCCAATAAGAGCTCGGCGTTCTGACATCATCGCAACCCCTGCGCATGAAGCAGACCAACTTTCGCTCCGCATAGGTTCGTCTAAACTATCGCCCAAACATCGAACCGCAAAAAAGGCGACTCTCGGATGTTGCCCTTATTATCGCTTCTCAGGCAAAGGTATCGAGGCATCCGGCGATAAGAGCCCACCGGCGAACAAATCCCAAAACGCGAACAAAATAAGCCGCGCGTTTCTTACGCGGTCGGCGACTATTACCGACCAAGAGGGACGTCCATCTTCGTCGCCCCCGCGAGACACGTCGCACTCAGGCCCCCGCAAAAGACGCGCGCGTGCGGCCCAGCCAAAGAGGGTGAGAGCAAGGAAATCGCCCTTGCGCTCTCTATCATCTCCTGGCCCCGTTCAAACCATTCATCCCTGCCACGTCCCCAATTTATCTTACCTTCCCTCCGAGTCTCCCTGCATTCATCCCACTCCCCTTCCACCTTCCCTACATTATTTCACTTTCCCTGCCGCCTTCCAGACATTCCTCTACATTCGCTCCCACCTCCCTTGGATTCATCCATTCCCCTCACCCGCCTTTCCTACCTTCCTAGTTTCCCCCTTCCTTGCCGTCCTAAACGTAGGCAGAAACAAACGGAGAAAGACACATGCCGGCTGTTTCCTTTCTTTTTTTCGTAAGATGAAAATGACATTGATTGAAATGTGGATGTCGCTCTCAGCATTGCGAA